TCCCACTCCTGGTTCAGAGATCGGGCATACTGGCAGCAAACACTGCTGCTATTTTTACATTGAATAAACTACAATATAAATAAATGGCTGCTTAAAGAAAATAAATATCCAATTTTGTTTAAAAATTATCTTTAATCTATGCTGAACAAGATTGCTGTCTTCCCTCCCTAAAAGAGGCTGTAAAATTAAATTCTGTTTATGAAGTGCTCAGATATCACAGCATAAGTAACCCAGAGAAGCCCTTGGGGAAATTAATAATTTTGTCTTTTGAGCAGGGATACAAGAGCACACAGCCACACAGGACAGAAGGATAAACAAAAGTTAGCTAGTGGGCACCTTCCACCCGTGCACTCATCCTAGAAAATGCAGTCTGTGACCATGCAAAAACCACACTGTAATACAGATATACACTGAAGTAAAAACTAAGGCAATTTTGTTTGTGGTATTTCCTGACTTCCAAGAACTTTCTGCAGCTTCCGCAGAAGCATTTCAACTCAACCAATTAGCAACCACACTATAATGCAGATATACAAGAGGACTGAAGTAAAAACTAAGGCAATTTTGTTTGTGGTATTTCCTGACTTCCAAGAACTTTCTGCAGCTTCCGCAGAAGCATTTCAACTCAACCAATTAGCTAGCTTATTCACAGAGCTCTCACCAAAGCACCTCCGCCAGTCCACAGTCAGCTCTCAGCCTCTCTCATTCTGAAGGCTCTTCAAACACGCACAGAACAGAGCTAGTTTTTCACGGGGGCTGGTGGCCAACTCCCACAGAAACCAGCTGGGCTGACCTGTGACCACTGCAGTTACCATGAGCAGCTCTGTCTCCCCATGCTAGAAACATAGGACACTGCAGTGCAAACAGCAAGAGCTAGCTGCTTTCTCCAGTCAGGACCAACACCAGCAGGTAGCGTGGCACTGAAGTCACTTGTGGGTTTCACGATGGCCATATGACAGCAGGAGAGAGCTAGGATGCCTGCATAGTCTTTCACACCTGGACAGACTGTTCCATCAACACTGCTGTCATAAAGCATGCTCCTGCATCATTCCCAGTCCTAGTCTCCATCCCCTTTTGCTCACTAATTTCTATTTTGACTTTCCAAGTTTTACTTGGTGAACAGCGGATTTTTATCAGAGCTACTAAACAGCACATTCACACATGAGCATCACTTCCCCGAAAGTTTCAAAATGCTCCCCGCCCTTCCCCGCAACACAGGAGTGGAGAATTTCTCAGATAAGAAGGCTGAGGGAACTGTGTCATTTTTGAATGACCTAGCAGC